TCGGCTGGGCACATGATCCGTGCCCAAAGCTGGAACTGGTCGGATGAGGCCGCCTCCTCCTAGACCGAGACCTCTCTGGCGGCGGCGCCCAGAGATGGGCTGGAGAGGCCCCAGTCTCCGCTGAGGGGGCCCATTCTGTTCTGAGGTCCTCGTCTTCTCAGCCACTGTTCTTATCATGGCTTCACCATTCCCCCACCTTGCCTTTCTTCAAGCCCCAATTTCTAATTAATGGCTCCCTTGGGCAAATTCCCCCAGTTCTTGACCCAGTGGGCCCAGGAGGAGTTGGCACTACTCCTGCAAGCTCCAGGCCAGGGATCCACAGGGCAGGGGCCTGGAAGCCCTTGGCCTTTCTCCCCTCCCCAAGCATGGTAGCCTGCCCTATGTGGCCTGGCCTGAGGTGCGTCCCCCCTCCCTTTCCACCCTTCTGGTGCCCACAGGAGGAAGCAGCCCTGCTCCACCAGGAGTTTGCAGAGGCCTGGGGCCAGAAGGCCAAGGAGCTGTTTGACCCCATCTGGCAGAACTTCACTGACCCGACACTGCGCAGGGTCATCGACGCTGTGCGCACCCTGGGCCCTGCCAACTTGCCCCTGGCCAAGCGGCAGCAGGTGGGCCTGAGGGTGGGTGCTTCACAGTGCCCGTGGTGGGAGGAGAGAGCAGCCTGGCAGGGAGGGAGGGAGGTACCCAGGGTTCTGTGTGGGCCCTGGCTGGAAGGAAAGCCCAGGCACACACAACGTATTGAGTTTTCTTGGCAGTCTTTGGGATGGGATTACTTAGGTTGAAGCCAGTATCAGAGAGTAGAAGGTGACGTTTAAATGAATGGTAAACTTGTCCCTCAGCCGACTTGGGTTTATGAGCTTCCTGAGAAAGGCTGGGAAGGACTGAGACGGCACCCAGGCCAGGAATGACAGGAATTTGCCCTCACAACACTGCAGGGTGACGGCCAGCTGCAACCTGGCCCTCCCAACCCTCAGGACCTCGTTCCCGTGTCCACAGAAAGGAGAATGGGCAGACCAGTGATGGAAGTGCCCCAGTGCCACTGAGTGGCCTTGCCCAAGCCATGCCCCTCCTTGGAACCCCTTCCTCCCCAGCAAGGGAGGAGGGAGTGGCCAGCTGACCGCTGACCTTTATGTTCATGGTCCTGGGCTGGCTGTTCCTGCTAACCTTTCCTCAACCCTGACTCCCCAGTACAACTCTCTGCTAAACACCATGAGCAAGATCTACTCCACCACCAAGGTCTGCTTTCCCAACAAGACTGCCACCTGCTGGTCCCTGGACCCAGGTATGGCCCTGTCCCCTCTCCCTGCCTGGCTCTCCTAGCCCTTCCTAAGCTCCCACCTCCAGGTGCGCCTGGACCTCCCCACCACCACTAGGCCTTCCTCCTGGCAGCCTGGTGTCCCTTTTTCGTGGGTCCTCTCACTTTCTCCCAGAGCCCTCCATGGGCCTCGGATCTCTGGTGGCTTCCCCTTAGACCCTTCTCTGCTCTCCCACCTTAGCTCCATTTCTAGGTGGCCTTGAGGTCAGTTACTCTGTCTACTGAGCCATGAAGGGTCTTCTGGGCCTCTGCCACTGGGTGATGTTTTTCTGTCAACCCCTTGGCTCAATCCCTCAGGACAGAGGCCCCAGCTGGGCGGTGGCTTGTATGGCTTCCAGCCAGGCTCAGGTTGCCTTTGGCTTTAGGGCACCATGATGCTCAGGAAGCTGGTGGGAGTGGTGAGGGCCAGCGGGGTTCCTGGTAGAGGCGTGTGCAGCCGTCTAACTAATCCTGCCTGACTGTGTCTCAGACCTCACCAACATCCTGGCTTCCTCTCGGAACTATGCCATGCTCCTGTTCGCCTGGGAGGGCTGGCACAACGCCGTGGGCATCCCACTGAAACCCTTGTACGAGAACTTCACTGCCCTCAGCAATGAGGCCTACAAGCAGGACGGTGAGCATGCCACTTCTCACCCGGGAGCAGCAGCCCTTCCCAGCTGGCGAGGTGCCCTCGCCACCACTGCGTCCACGGAGCCCCAGCTCCTGGGACAGACAGAGCCGCTGATACAGTGGCATTTCCAGAGCCGGCCTGGGTCTCCAGCCAAGTGGTTTCCTGTGCCCAGTGGGCCGGGTTTCCAGCCAAGTGGTTTCCTGTGCCCAGTGGGCCTCCCCACCCCTGCTGCTGTCCTGCACTGCGTCCCTTCCTGCTGCCACTCCTGGCACTGTGCCCAAGCCCCTGGCTCTTCTTTGCCTTGATTCTCTCTAGGATCTCCTTAGCTGGAGCTGCCCCCAGTTAGAAATTGTGGCATGCAACCCCCAAGCTGGCCTTCCCAGCTAGCTGGCAGATCACGGGCCTCAGCCGGGAGGATGGTGGTCATAGCTGGGTGGTAGAGGTTCCCGAACTTGGCCCTGAGCTGCACCTCCACCCTGCCTCCCACCCCCAGGTTTCTCGGACACGGGGGCCTACTGGCGCTCCTGGTATGACTCTCCCACCTTTGAGGAGGACCTG